ACAATGCCACACAAAATGGCCATTTTTGGTGTAGGAACTAATGCCCTTTTTATTCAGTTCTAAGAAATTTCACCTATATGGGGGTGTTAACAAGGCATATTAATACCAGCAGCATGCCTGAAACAAGAGCCAAAGGTTTTAGAAAAAACAAATTTTCTCGTTTTTATTTTTTTTGCCATTTTGTGAGGCATTTTTTCTTTTTTGTGAAATAATTTTTCACAGCTCAGTTTTTTCGTGAGTTTTAGGTTATTACCCCATTCCTTAATAGGTTTTCTAACAACGTGTGGTGATAGAAATTTAAAAAGTATCTCCATCAAAAAATTATAGAAATTCAGATTTGGCCATTCTGTGAGGCATGGTTTTTTAGAGGAAGATTTTCCGGCCAATTTTTCTCAAAGAAAAAATGGTTATGAGATTAAATGAACCCCCGGGAAGAAAAATATGAGTGTCAACTTAGCTTCTTATGAGATAAAAACTGGAATAAAGTGTGTTTTGTGATTTTGAGAGACCTTCCTTTTTTGGCCATTCTGTGAGGCATATACCCGTACCTACCATTTACCAAGGATGTTTTTCTCTGATCATCCTAGATTCGAAATTCATTTGTTAAAACGGTTTAACAAATTTCTTACCACAGGCAAATCTTCCAGTATTGGGCGTTTTTCCTACGTCACATCCACCACAACTCTTCATAGTTCTGTCCCGATATGTCCACTCTTCACATTGCTCTGAAAAAAAAGGGATGTAGTTTAAACTCTTTTTATAAGTATGATGATCTAATCATTGGACTAGTGATTGGACAGTGTTCAACAGTGTATTGCAGTATTAGGAGATATTATTATATCTCTTTAAGATATATTATATAAGATTATATCTTACCACAACCGGTCTGACTGGTGTTGGTTTGGTATCCCAGTTCACATTCTTCACACCATGTCATAGAACTGTCACGATACTTCCCTTCTTCGCAGGGCTCTGAAGTATGTCATTTCACAGCGAACTACTAGTTAGAAATTTAAGCTTTAAGGTTATTTTCAAAATAGCAGTACAGTATTAGCTACAAATATAGGGTAACTTATCTTACCACAAGCAATCTGGTCAGAGTTGGCTTCTTTTCCTTCATTACATGTAGCACATAACGTCATTGAGCTGTCTCGATATGTCCCTTCTTTGCATGGTTCTAAATATAAGAGGGGTTCAGGGTGGGATTTACTATCTACAGCTATTAAATAGTTATTAATAGACTAAATTAACTATGTTACTCTTTATCTGAATTTGCTCTAGATATTGTTCCATCCTTTTATTTGTTGTGATTAATAGTTAATAAAACTATTTCCACTTGATGTTCTACGAGCTCTCGTGTTAATAAAAATTAGCTACAATTTAGAAATAATGGCCATTATAAAAATAATAGTAGTATTGGCTACAAAGATTTCTTACCACAGACAACTTTTTCAGTGTTCGGTGTCTCCCCTAAGTTGCATACATCACACATCGTCATAGAGCTGTCCCGATACGTCCCTTCTGCACATGATTCTGAAAATAAAGTGATTAACTTTGATACGCCTTAACCTAGTCCCACTCATGTGAAATAATGCATATTTTTAGATTAGAGACATTTCGTGGGGTTAAAAAGATGTATATAGTGCACTTTTCCCTTCTATAGAGTTAATCTGTTACACTGTTACACAGAGGCATCAGAAGAAAAAAGTAGCAGGGAATAACGTTGGTTTTATGTCAGTAAATATTATCCTTGCTGTGAAAATTATATTTTAAACCATTAGTTATTTTACTTGGCTCTACTGTAATACAAATAGTAGTAATGGACGACTTTATTATAGGTTCAGTATCTCTACTCTCCAGTCTTAGCTAAAAATACCACAGCAATCAGACAGATGGATGAGGACAAGAGCATAAACCTGAGTCTGACTCAGCTTTATGCTCTTGTTAAGTGTTAACACGTGTTAATTCTGTAACGTCTCAGGTCCTGAGACATTACAGAATTAGAACTATCATTTAGAAATAGTGGCCATTATCAACATAAGAATAGTATTAGCTGCTCAGATTTCCTACCACAGACAACTTTTTCAGTGTTCGGTGTCTCCCCTAAGTTGCATACATCACACATCGTCATAGAGCTGTCCCGATATGTCCCTTCAGCACATGATTCTGAAAGTAAATTGATTAACTATAATTTACCTTTTAACCTTGTCCCACCCATGTGAAAATTGATAAATTGTACATTGAGAGAAAACAAGGCGACCTATTCGCTTATTTTTAAACCACCCTGCTGAGATTTGATACCTTGAGATACAAAAATTAAAGCTTAAGAAAGTTGCACTGTTTGCTAACTGCTAATTCTGCTATTTCTAATTCTAAGCGTCGTTATCGCGAGGAGAATTAGGGATGGTGTGAAAATAATTTCATTATTATAATTATACTATAATACTAGTAGTAGACCATGCCATCAGCATCTGTCTAATAGACATGTTTTACACTTACTGCAGTCTGTGTTCCTGGTTCCTTGTCCTGCTGCTACATACTTCCCTACAGGACACATCACACAGGAGGTTACTGTTCCTCCACTACTGTAAGTCGCCTCCCCACATATCTGACACCCAGAATGTTGGTTTAGATATTGACCACCACCGCAGGGACCTGTGAAATAGGAGGACGATAGAATTGTTTAATCCTCATGAAACGGTCCTTATCTTAAAAAATGGTAAAAGAAGTATCAAATACTGCGAAAAGTGGACAAAATGGACTGCTTTTAACCAGGAATCCCCTCGACAAAAACATGTAAACTGTTAATGAGCTACTCACTCCATGTGCAATCACTCAAGGAAGATCCCTGCCCAGGATTAACAGTTTTCCCAGCAGGACAAGCCACACAGTTGGTCTGCACCCCTCCTGGACTGTAAGAGTCTCGTCCACACGCATAACAACCTGACCCAGATGAGAAGTAGTGGCCTCCTCCGCAGGTCTCACACTCATAGTGTAACTGAGGGGTTATGGAGTTACATACAATATTTGGTAATGATATTTTGATTTTAGATGCCCCTAAGCGTTCACACATCCCACAAAATTTCACGAAATTAGTATGGAGTACAGCGAAAACTGCACGATTCAATTTTATAGTACAATTTAAAAAAGGATTTTACCTCTAGCTTTTTATCGCGGCCCCAACAAGGGTCACTGTAAAAGTGGTTAGGGGTTGTGTTAATTGAGCAGTCGAGCCTGCTGTTGCAGTGGTTAGCGGTGGTAGACAGCGCGTTTGGATCATCACCACAGCCATAACCCCACTCGGGGGAATAGTATCTCACAGAAGTTATTAAAATGTAGGAGTTATAGCTGCAGTGTAACGTGAATTTAACGTCCTGCCCGTGTTCCTGATCTGTAATTATTTATGTCAGTTAATTAATAGTGTTAAGAATTCGTGAAAATGTAAATTATGAGCAAAGAAAACTGATAATTTAAGATTCAGTTCATGATTTGGGATATAACAATAGTTGAAAATTATTTGCCAGCTTTATTTTTATGAGGCATGATTGTGTCATTCTGCTAGAAACTTAATTAACGTTGTACACATTACTTAATAATTATTTTGTGGTATTCTCGTACTTACAATAGCATTGCGAAGGCGGAAAAGAACTGAGAAGAAACAACCAGATAATCATAACATCTTTTACCATTCTTTACTGAGCTAATAATTGATTAATTAATTAAGCTCAGTAGTTTATTAATTAATTATAGCTAATAATTAATACCAGAACATCTGAGCAAATAATTGAAGATGTACGACGTTCCGACTACTGTTAACTGTACCCATGGAAGCTGGCAAGAAAAAAAACAACAACAAACATCAGCTGTTTTAAAGCATCAAGAACTAAACGACAAATAAATAATATATATCATAATATGTACCAGATGAAATGAGAGTCAATGCAACTCTTTATATTTTCACAAACCACAAGACACAAACGAAGGTAAGTATATGTTGCCTGTACTTAGTACAAGTATTTTATGAAAGAGCACATTTAAGTAAGCACCAACGTGGAAGAAGTTATACGTTACTATTTAAATCATATTCACACGAAAAAGACGTATCTCGACTTCTCGAGGCACTTGGGGCGACTGCTGCTGCAAAACATCACTGCTGACTTGTTTATCTCTTTCGACGAAAGCTAATGCTTACAACAACTGTTTCACGTTACTAGCTCCCTCTCATATCACTCCCGGGTAGAAGTAAACTGCCTCTGTTCATAGCATGGAAATCTCCTGATCATTTTTCTACCCAAAGGTCGCAAAGAACAATAGATCACCAAAATATGGTATCAGCAAGGAACTAATGCTTGGTAACTTTCTTGAAATGTGTGACTTTTCGTTAGCCTGGTGTTTACCATCATCACTTAAAGTAAGAAGTGGGTGTGGAAAATGAACTGACTGTCATTTTACTTAACTTAAAAGTGTTATTGCCAAAGGTTTCGAGGAACAATAGATCAGGAAACTGGTGCTCCATTTCTGCCCTTACACGTGACTGCAATTGACCAGTCAGCTGCCAGTATCGGCCAATAACACCCAGAACCACGTGTCACCAGTATCCAGATCTACAGGCTACCAGAGGATATCGACAAGTAACGTAGACTAACGCCTGGCAACTGTCTTGAAGTGAGACAAGTTGATAACATGGCACTGTTACATTGTTACACTGTTACACTGTTACACTGTTACACTGTTACACTGTTACACTGTTACACTGTAACACTAGTACTTAACAGTCCAGCTTAAAGGTGTGGGTACAAGTTTTTGGTGTTATTGCAAGGAAAATCAAAAATTAACTTTTCCAATCTCGAAAAACAATCTTTAAAACATTTTATATCTTTATAACATTTGATATCTTTAAAACTTTAATATCTTTAAAACATTTAATATCTTTAAAACATTTAATATATAATAATTGGCCTATTCTTTATACAATTAATGTATTAATTATTGTCAGTAATTATAAAGCAATGGCATGAAAGACATGAAGAAACCCTATGTTTACATCTACGGTACAGGTTGGGGCTCTATTGTTGCCGAGCTTCTCTCAGAGCAGGGTTACAAGGTAAATTCTTAACGGAATTATATTTAATACTGTATATTAAGTAAACTTCAAACTGTTGAAAAGAGTATTTGAAGTAACGAGATGTCTGCTAGTATGATTTGTATCACGAGTAGGTGCTTTTTGGCCTGTAGTTAGTCTTAATTAATTAATTAATTGATTATATTTAGTTAATTATTTATTTTATTTCCAGGTGATTGGTATGTGGAGTTATGACGAAGAGGAGTTGGCCAGGATATGCGATAAGCTACAAATACCTTATTCTACCACTGATATTGACGTTTGTTCTTAAATACTTTACATTTACAACTCTTTCCCCTGTTTTTCCGCATCTAGAATTGAAAATCCTCCTCATATCAAGTTGATGATATTTTTAATCAATTTCTATCGATTGCAAATTTGTTATTTATTATCTAAAATTTAAAATTTGCAATTTAAAATATCTATCGTATCGGCAGGAGCTGTTTCAATACTTAACAGAGAACCAAAAGAACAAGGACAAATCATATGACGCAGAGAACACGATAGTGTGGGTGGCTACTCCGCCGTATCACCTGGCTAACATCGCGCGCCAAATCTTAGAGTACAGCAATAACATTGTCGTTGAGGCTCCGGGAGGTTTGTTGATTATCTCATTTATTATTAATTAATTTATTCTTAATTGATTAATTTTAAACTTTAATATCTAGCTGCACTGCAGTGATTTTAACAGTACTGGTTAGTTTATTGATTGTATTTTATTTATGGGATGTTGATATATTATGATGCTATTATTTGTATTGCTATTTAATTAATTGTAAATTAAAGCAATTAACTCCAGACAAATACTAACTATTTCAGTGACAACAGTAGAAGAGGGAGAGGCTCTCCTGGCATCTGCCTCTAAGTTTGCAATATGGTTGTGCGCGTGTCCTTATCAGCTGAGGAATCTTCCAGCAGTTAGGCAACTCAGGAATATTATCATGGACAAGAAGTATGGGGCTGTAAAGAGTCTAGAGGTATGTTCAGATCCACTATGTAGCTTTATAGAACCGCTCTTCATGGGAAGTTGTGAAAACCAAGCAGGTTTGCGTGAGACTTCCCATGGGGGGGGGGGGGGGGGGGGTATTCTACACCCCCTTCCCATGGCATGGCAGTAGATAAAATTATGAGGTCTTACTTAACAGTAATATAATTAAGAATCTAATAATTTGTAGTAACACGTTTTGACAGGTGAGAATACAGTGTAACCAGACAGAGCTATGTTCCAAGAAGTACAACTGGAAGTATGATAAGAACCGGTGCGGAGGCGCGCTCAACATGTTTGGGTGTCACATCATTGATCTTCTTACTTACCTACTCAACGATACTAAGGTTGGGATTTGGGAAGTTAACACGTGATGTTTTAAACTACAATAAAATACATCGATAAAAAATAAGATATAAGGCAATACAATAAAAGATCAATCGATACAATAACAGCATAATTTTGTATCAAACAATATTCTTTCTCGATTGTTCTCCCCTCCCCCCACTGACACATCTTCTCAATCAGGTGGACTCAGTTCAGGGAACACTAAAGAACTTTGTTCGACAAAACGAGTATATAAACGGGTTCAGGTCAATTACCGGTGACGACGTGTGCAACTTCCAGTTACGGTTCAAGGCTCACAAGAATAATCCGTACATTGCTGATGATTCGGTTGTAGCTTGGGTAAGTGAAGTGTGTACAATGTACAGTGTACAGTTTACAGTGTTTTCTCTAATATTGTCATTTCGTAGTTATGCTGGTTCTTCCGGAATCAAACTCAGTAAAAATGGCAAAGGTCACTTACTTCAAATATGACAGTTTCAATAGATATTATTTATATCTAAATTATTCGATAGATTTTATTTACATATCTCTTTATTTAATAAATTTGTTTATTGATCTCTTTATTTAATAGATTTGTTTATTTATCTCTTTATTTAATAGATTTGTTTATTTATCTCTTTATCTAATAGATTTGTTTATTTATCTCTTTATTTAATAGATTTGTTTATTTATCTCTTTATTTAATAGATTTGTTTATTTATCTCTTTATCTAATAGATTTGTTTATTTATCTCTTTATTTAATAGATTTGTTTATTTATCTCTTTATTTAATAGATTTGTTTATTTATCTCTTTATCTAATAGATTTGTTTATTTATCTCTTTATTCAATACATTTATTTATTTAACTCTTTATTTAAAATTCCAGGTACATATCAGCATGCTGTACCCCAACACAGTATTTAGACAGGAAGTAACTGTACTTACTGAGCGAGCCTGTATTGTACTGGATAACTGCCAGCTGAAGATCATCCCCTTCCAGTGAGTTAACAGTTAATTAGTTAATTAATAGTTAATGATAATTAATTAATTGTAGTAGGTTACATTTTATTAAAACCTCTAAAATATCTGATTTAAAAACCTTGTTTCGTGTGAGTTTGTTATCAGTACTACCTGTACTATACGTTTATTTTTGTTGCACATATTGTAATACAAATTCTCATTTTTCATGTTTATGAACGTCTCTACAATGTAACGTTATAATATCACAGAGAACAATACAAAACCCTTTAGTAAACATAGTGTGACTATATTTTGTAATGTTTACAGTTGTGACAGTAAAACAGTTGAAACACAATGTATATTATATTAATTATCACGTTACAGTTCACAGCACTGAGTTTCAACTCAAAAATAACAAACAAATTTACCAACAAAATAGCACTAACTAATCACCTAATCACTTAATTACCTAATCACCTAGACAAGATGACGAGGAACCCACTAAAGAGACTCTAATAGAGGAGGAAGAACCTCCAAAGTTCACGTGTGAAGATCTGGCGCCTGGCCAGCCTACTCCCTATATACTAGGAATGAAGTACTTTATTGATGCGCTGGATATTAAGAAACTGCAGTTCCCTTATGATGAGTGAGTTGTGTGTTAAGTGGTGATTGCAGGATCGTTCACATTTTCTTTTTATCCCAAAGATTATGTTGTCCACAGTTTCTGCCTCTTTCGCAAATCTTTTATAGAAAATAATGAAGTTTTGCAATCTCAACCACCGCTTTAAAAAATTCTTCATTTCCTAAAATTCCCCTAATCTTAACCATACACACCCAGACAGCGACAACCGAAGACGAGACTTAAATTCCTGCAACATCTGGTGAAGGTACTAGAGAAGATACGGCAGTCAAGTGAGCAGAGGGAGAGAGGCTGGGTACCCATAGAGCCTAAAGAAACCAAAGTTACTGAGTCTAAAACTAAGCGAGGGACCAGTATGAGTAAGGGGAATAGTGCTAGTCAGGCTATTTCACCTTGAGGATTATTAATTAGTTAATTAATTGGTTAGTTAGTTGGTTGATTGATCGATTAATTGATTATTTAATTAATAGAGTATTTAATCGGTTTATCAATTAGCTAATTAATTACATGATTTATCAATTAGTTACTAAGTGGTGAGGGATCATTTGAGAGCTCTTAATAATAATCGCTAACAGGAGTATTATATATTAAATATGAGATAATTAAATAATTAAATTATGAGATAATATAGCGGTTTACAAGGTATTTTGTTAATTGTTATTAAGAGATTAAATTATAAAAAGCGCTGGTTATTTAAATAGTGTTATGAATTATACATATATATAGAATAAATTCTTACAGTTAATATACTAACATATCATATTATAATTGATAAGCAATAATATATCCTGAATAGAAGTCAAATGAGTTGTTCAGTCGCATCCTCGGCGAACCACTTGTTCTAGCAATTTTTATTCATAGCTAAAGAATTTTATTGTCACCTTATGTTATATGTGATTGGTTAATATAGTTGAGAATTTGTGGGGGGGGGGGGGGGGGGGGGGGCAGGGACAAAAGGATTTCGCGATTATTTTGGCCAAATTTCGCGGTACCGCGAAATTTAACAGGCTATACATTAAACTACACATAAAATTTGTCGCGGAGAATGGGAAATTTCGCGATTTCGTACATGCCGCGAAATCCTTTTGTCCCTGGGGGGGGGGGGGGGGGGGTACATTTTCAGAGGAAAATGTTCAGTTCTAGTCATAAACGAGCACTAATATGATGTTTTTTTTTGTGTTTCTTTATGAAACTATGTAAATAATGTACATTATAATAATTATTATAATCTACACATTTTATCATAACTGTGTACATTATAAAGGCTTGTTAAACTCACAAACCATTAAGTTTCTACAGCCTTCAAATTCCTAGTTCCTGAAAGAAAAATAACGCCACATGCACACAAATGCCCACAAATTCCCACAAATGCCCAACTCAATTATTATCTGGTTTTGATTGGTGAAGAATTTTTACATTTTATAGCTTTTATCCTTGTCATACGAACATTTTCCATGTTTATATCGTTTTATTTTCCACTAATTTCAAGTTATTAAACTTTGCACGTGTACAATGTATTTCATAAGTTTTGATATCTCATATGAAAAAATTACTCTGTATATGAAATATGTTTTCTCATTTTATCATTATTGAGAGAGCTTGGTTGTCTTTATCTATTTGGTTGTGTTAATCTATTAACTTATTAATTAATTAATTGACTATAATTGATGTATTAAGAATGGTGTAAAACTTCCTTCCTGTCACAGTTACGAAGAGGTAGATAATTTCTGCGTTTTCGATCCTCTCTGCAAATTGTGACAAACAAATTTTGTCTTCTCATCGTTTGTTGTGTTTCAGACCATTCCCAGGTACATTAAAGAGAATTCTAGATATTGAAATTAAGATCTAGAAATGTGTAATTTCGGGACATTTTTGTGATTGAAAATCATCAAAATATCATTAAACGGCCATAGCTTTGGCCGTAATCAATATTTTGATGAGAACTATATGGAAATCGTTACTCTCCTCTTTCTAAATCTTTAATAGAGCCGATATTTACGATTAACAAGATTTGGACAACCTGGCTTTCTTAAAATATGGTTTTTTGTTGGTTAACATTTCAATAAATTAATTGTTCATACTAAAGAAATAACTGTTATACGATTTCTATTTTATCATTGAATATCGGTGAATTATTTATGCTACGGAGTTTTTTGTAATTGAAAAGAAATGTTAAGGTGTTACACTAAGATAATATTATTATATTTTATATCTAATATTTGATTACCATATTATGTTGCGTGTTATCACATGTTTGTACATGTAAGAATGTACGTGTTTATCCTTATTTAGGTTTCATATTATACAGTTTTGAATGCTATATGATAGTTTGGATGCTATTTCATTTAAATGTAATGACGTATGCTATTTATTTGTTTTTAGAATGCTGTCTTTTATTCCCGTGAATTAAAATTCGATTGTTGAATTATCATTTTAATCCAACAGTTAATCACTGAAAATTGAACATCAGCTTTATTTAACATTTAAAACTTTAATAAACACCCACCACAATAAAACCTGATTATATCAGATAACCTATCTGAGCCCATTGCAGTTTATTAACTAATATTAGATAAAACTAAATCAAGATGTGTTCCGTCACAGCAAATTACCTTTAAATTCAATTAAACTATTCAATTGCTATATCAATAAATAATAAATAACTTAATTAGTGGTATGTCCAGTTTATTAACTAATGCCTGCACTTTAACCAACGATAGTACCTAGACTGACCTCATACTCCACCAGCACTTCATCATGCAACCAAAAAGCAGCAACAGCGCCAAATAGCACCAAACCAAGCGCATCCATAGAAACTAAAACTCCTCAGCACCTGGCTCCCTAGATCACATGAAACTGCCATCTGAACTGGAGGGTAAAATAGACTTTAAACCAGTGTGCACCACTAAAGAGGGTTCTACCCTGGAATTTGAAGATTGTATCGTGGAATGTTAATGGTATTAGAGCGGTGGTTAAAAAGCATAAGCTAGACTACCTGAAGTTTGAGGATGCTGATATTGTGTGTTTTCAGGAGACTAAATGTTTTGAGGCTGATTTCCCTGAGGCTGCTAAATTCCAGGGATACCACAGGTTTTATAACTCAGCGGCTAAGAAAGGGTACTCCAGCACTGCTGTCCTTTCTAAAGTGAAACCAGTTTCCGTTACATACGGTATTGACATTCCTGAACATGATAATGAGGGTCGAGTCATTACAGCGAGTACGCGAACTTTTACCTTGTGAATGTGTACGTGCCTAACTCCGGGCAGAAAACAGTCAGACTACCTTACAGGAGGAAATGGAATGTGGACTTCTTGGCTTATTGCCAGGATTTGGATGCTAAAAAGCCAGTTGTTGTTGCTGGTGATCTCAACGTAGCACACACTGAAATTGATCTGGCTAACCCTAAAACTAACACTAAAAACTCTGGTTTCACCCCAGAGGAACGGGGTGACTTCACCACGCTGCTTGACGGTGGGTTTATCGACACATTCCGACATTTCTACCCTGATAAAATTGGGGCCTACTCCTTCTGGACCTATATGTCCAATTCACGGAAGAGAAATGTGGGTTGGAGAATAGATTATTTCTTGGTTTCAACAAGGTTTATGGGTAGAATAGCAGCAAGTGAGATAAGGGAGTTAGTGCTGGGTAGTGATCATTGTCCTATCATGTTGTTATGTGCTGATCTAGGTTGTGAGGGTAAAGATGAGGTTACTAGTGAGGTGAAGGATGAGGTTAAAGATGAGGTTAATAATGAGGTTAATAGTGAGGTGAAGGATGAGGTTAATAATGAGGTTAAAGATGATACTACTAAAGGAGTTGCTAAGTTGGAGGACGGGTCTAATCAAGATAAAGAGGAGAAGAATGGAGCAGACGAAGAACGTGTCAAGTTGAGTGAGGATATTGAAAATGTTGAAAATTTGGAACCCAAAGTGGAGGGTGTTGATGGTAACGACAAAGACATGGAAGTTGTTGGAAATGGTGGTATTCAGAATACTAATGGTGTTGAAGCTTGAAGTAATGAAGCTGTAGTTCTTCGCATTTTATCAAAACTATGAAATGTTGTGTTTGTAGTTTAGTTATTGGTTAACAAATAGGCAGATATATTTTTGCTTATTGTATGCCCTGGACCCTGTTATTCTATTTAACAATAGTATCAAATTAATTTATTGTTTTTATCAGCATTGTTTTTATCAACAATATGATGTAACTTATTTCAAATAATATACTTTTTAATCGTAATTCAATTTTATAATTTAATTTTCATTTTATACAATGGTATGTGTGTTGTTTCACTGCTTTGCACTTGAAGAATAAAAATAAAAGAATGGAATTTTACCCAAATTTTCCACATTCACGGCAGTCTTGAACAATTCTGCTATAATTGTGCAAGGATGAATTATTGCCAAGATAAGACTAAATCAAGACGTGTTCCGTCATAACTAATTCTGTAAAATGTTATTATTTAATTAAATTCATAAACTATTTAACTTTAAATTCAATTAAGTAATCAAATACCACATTATTTAACTAATTGATAACTTATTTAATTAATTAATAACTTAATAAATTAACTAATTAACAACTTAATTAGGGCTATGTCCTTCCTCCGGGGCTTTCTCTCGACCCCGACTGAGGAGGAAAATAAACAGGGCGGATTTGAAACAGTAAGTATTTTTTAAATATATTTCTAACTTACTTTAAATATCTTTCTAACTTACTTTCTAACTTACGTTTGTGATATTTAATTCTGAATGTTTTCTCTTCTGAAATCTCTAATTTGGTAAGCCGTAAGGAACCTTTGGTAAGGTTCCTTACCAAAGCTCATGAACGAAGATTCCCTAAAGCGTCCTCCAAACAAATTCCTAACATTAACAATATTGCCAAATTATAATCTATGACTCGGAACACTTTCAGATAAGTTCATTTAAATTATTAAGTATTTTGAATCTCACTCTTAAGATTTACGGGGTTCATTGTATATATACTTTATGACTTTTGGGTAAATTTAATTTTTTATATCTGGTCAGACATTACCATTGTAATTTGACTTTTGAATCGTTTAATAATGATTGTAAACAAAATATTTTTTGTCAAAATATTTATGTTTCACTTTAGTTTAAGTTATATTAATATAATAAATTCAAATCTTATGATATTGTTATTATCTTAACAGTTACTATTGTAGCTTAAGATTTTAAATTTGTATTCCTTGTATTCCTTGTATTCCTTGTATTCCTTTAATCCGTTTAATCCGTTTAATCCGTTTAATCCGTTTATATACTAGCAGGAACCTGTCTAACCCTAAAGTGGTGTCAAGACTCAAGAGACTAAAATAATTATTACCTATTTAAATCGCGTTTTTGACACCACTTGGGGGTCCAAATTTTGGGCTCTAAAACTCCTATTACTTGGCCAATTTTTTCATGCTGATTTGAAGGCCATTAAAGCATTTGACCCAGTCAAAAATGTTTCAGTTGTATATCTTTTACGGTTTTTGCGGAAAGTCGTGTTAAAGTTGATGCCATGGTGTCAGTAAAATGGCACGGATATATACATATATATCGTCTCGCTTTATATATAGTAAGATA